AGTCATAAGATTTTTTACCGCAAGTCTCTATGACAATTAGTTTGCGAGATATGGCCGAGAGCCATCCTTATTTGGCCACCCTGTACATATGTTGTGCATGTTAAAATTTAATTTTCTAATTGGGTCGCGAAGTATATTCCAACTATGAAGTACAATGAGCTTTACAATCAATTATCTGGTTTTTCGCGTTCGGAAAAATTATAGTGAGCAATTTGGAGGATAGAAAATTAATTAACCCATATACCATTTCCGCTGTACATCGAGTAATATTCATTAAAATTGTAAATTCTATTAGACGGCAATCTTAATCGAGCGCCCTCTGCGTTCGCCCGGTTTCACGTTTCCAGAATTGCCGGCAATTTGTTACGACTAATTAGATATCGGAGCGAAGTTGTGATCGGTGGCAGGTAACTAAGTTCAATTGGAACGGTGAAATTTTGTATTCCGGACGCCGCTCGTCGGAGGAAAGGCGACGGCGGTGCAGGAGGCCCTCCCGAAGCAGTGACCTATGACGTTGTCACGTGTCGAGCTTCAGTCGGTAGATTTCAAATCAAATCACTCGTTCGCTTAATTAAACTGCGATTTTTTTCTTCTCTCTCCGCTATTATCCGAATCCTGAGCCGAACAACGGGAGAATTAGGTGTAATTAACGATGTTAGTTATGAAAAAAAAGTTCGTTGAATATTTCGCTAAACAAACGTCCGCGCGAAAATATTGTTGCGATTTACATACGCTAAACCAACACGGTCGGGAATATTTATGAGTGTTGTGAAACAGGTTAACGTTATCCCGTATTTCAGCTGAAAACAGACTCGTTTACATATGTTTTTTTTTATCTAAAAGTACATCCTATTTATAATAATTAATCCAAATAAATGGTCGGAATAATTATAATAGTCTCTATCATTGCATCTAAATAAAGGAGCGATAGTAAAGTAAATTGGTTTTAATTAAGCGAAGCGAAAAAATCCGCTGAAGAGCAAACAAGCGCGTTGTAAAACTTTTACGTACTACAGTCTTCGTTTTGCAATGAAAGATTAACGATAATTATATTTATGTTTTCAGTTGGGAGAGCTCTCTACGACCTACACTTTATTTTATCGCTCAATTAATGTAAGATAGAAAAGGGCCGTCTGAGAGATACTGTTCAAATGTAATTAAATGCTAAATCTCGGGAGCAGGTATGCATTGAATATTTTATATTTCAGTTGGGAGCTTTTTTACTATCCGGTTAATTTAATTCTACGGCAGAGTAGCCAAAGTATTATTTTTACGAATCTTGTTTTCCACTCGGTTATTTTTCGAATTAAGAATTTCAAGAAAATGCGATTAATTGAGAAAAAATATATATAAAACTCGAACGATTTTTATTAAAAATATTTCTTTAAGGACTGATCGTGTTATAATCAATTATGTACTGACCCTGATAAATTGAGAATAAAAGGAAAATCGTTTGATCGATTGATTTCCGAGCTATCAGAGTTATTGGCGATTTCCGATATCGACACTTGACCTTTCCATTGGTAATCAGAGAATTTCCGCCTAATTTTTCACTGCTGTGCTTTTCCATGCTTTTATGCTACAGCAAACACTAATGTAGTTTATAAGAATAAAAAGCCTGCAGAGAGATTTTTGGAAAAATGGCGAATTTAACCTAAAAAAACTAATCTATTAATAACTGAAACAGCCGATTGACTGTGAAAATAATTTTTAAAATCTATAATTTAAAAGTCTAAATTTAAAAGTTTTATAAATATTTTACGCCAGTTTAAATGACTTTTTGATGTTTCAATTTATTATTGGTTCATACAAACGAAATGGCACTCTCGGTAAATGGATTTAGAATTAAATAATAATCCATCAATAACGTTCGTTCATTTCACAATATTTTATTTATAACCACAAAAAGGACAATTTCCTGGAGATTTTTCGGATGGCAAATTAAAATTTATCCGCGACAAATTAAAACGCATTGTTCTATGTGCGTTAAACAATAAAGTCGTTAAGATTCAGATCCGGATCCAGAGGGGCCGAAATGTCAAAATTAATTTAAGAATCCGCGTTAATGGTAAACAAAATTTTATCTCATTAAAAAACGTAAAATCGGAGCGCCCGATTCGTCGAGATTGGGTACAAGAATAAAGTCATAACTAATCAAAGAAGCGACGCTAACCTCCTTTTCCCTAATTTGGCAAAGCTTCTAATGGCCTATATTCCGTCGAGGGAAACCGTGAAGGGGATGAATAATGTCATTATCCCATAGTCAAAACCCATCATTCGATTGAAATTGAAGGAAACGAGAGCACTTAAATGTTAATTTAAAATTTAAGTAACTTCTAAGAGATTATTATTTCAACTGTATTCGTTAGAGATTTATTGATTTGCCTTGTAAGTTGCTCGTATTTTGTTCTTGTAAGCGCTCTATATGCGAATATTTTTGACTGGTATAATAAAAAACTTCCTACGATATTCTCTTTGTAAAGAAGACATTTACCAGGCTTATCTGGGGGTTAACAAATCGAAACGATCAGCGGCAAAGAATAACACCCAACAATAAACGATTTTATTACAGGGCTTATAAAAAACCATTTCTGCGTTCTGGAGCATCATCGTCTTTGTCGTAATAATAATTTCTCCAGTCGACTCGATAAAACTTTAATATAAACCGGTCGTTCGAACGGTAAATATGGAACTGCCAAAGGGAACGTAATAAAAATATTCGTCGATCTATCGTTGATCAACAAAAAACCCGTCGGAGAGCTGAAGGAACTGAACGCATTGAGATTCTGCCAATGGGTTTATAGCACTGCTTATATTCCAAATTCAATAAAGATCCGGCATAAAGAAGCGACGACAAAAAAAATAAGGGGAGATATAGAAATGCAAAGAATCCGCGCAAATGAGAAAATTCTAGACGCATATATTACTCATATAGCACCAATACAATCCAGCTATATTTAGACGAAAGTGCAATTAAATTATGTGCATTATCGAAATTGGTATTATTATTCCACCTATGCTGCTCTATTAAAGTAATTTTACCTGTTTATGGGTTAGTATAAAATATTCAAACTATCCAATTCGAGTTATTTCCTTGTGGCGATGAAATTTCCATCGATCGGAATTCGCATAAATCCGCGAAAATACCGGGAAAATCGAATATACGTCGTTGTCGTCAGCGCATTATTAAGATTGATGCTCGATATAAATGGAAAACTGAGCAGTATAAATGGCCACCTCACTTTTGCTGTTGACTGTTTTATTTGTATTTTAATAATAGACCTTTTACGTGCCATTTGATATACGCGAGAAAGTTTTTATTTTTCGATAGTTTGTTTAGTGCTTGTTTTTCTTCCTTGAAAGAAACTCCTTCAGATCCGGAAGGCAATTTATAGTTTTTGTATATCTGATTTATCTACCGAAATATCGCAATCCTGCTAACAAATGCTGTAATTTATGTCCCGAAATATCATCTTACGTTGATCGGTAAAGTTTGATTGCTACAAAATTGGCAATATAGTGCAATATAGGAAATCGTTTATTATACAACAAATAAATAAAATAATGTTACTATAGATCGACAAAAACTATATTGTTTGACCAAAATAGTGATAGGATAATTTAATGATACAGATCGTCAAGAGTAGCAGTATTGCGAGAATGGTTCATATACGATTATTGTCGATTTGAAATACTCTAATGCAATTACGATAAATAAGTACTCATATTTTGTACTGACGGGAATATTTTTTACTCGGCTAATTTAATACCGAGAATTCAAAATGTAATATTGCCTGGTATACCTGGGTTTTTCGAGAGGTAGTGATTGTTTATAGAGCACCAAGACTGGAAAAACTTTCTGACATTTATAATACTTGGAGGGCTCTTTAAACTTTAAATTAAAATCCGCCGTTCTCTCCGCCTTTCTCCGAATCATGTCTTTGTTTCTGGCTTTCTGGGCGAAGGCTTATGCACTTGCTCGCCCGCCAAGTTTCCGCTATCCTTGAGGATTCCTACTGTTCGCCAATTTGCTGGAAATTATTTATTTAAGGCGGTCGTTGATGAGCCGAGGGTTTCGGATATTTATTTCTAGGCCCTTAGTTAGACTCTTCTTTTAATTAGTTTCCAATTTACCGCTAATTATTATTAGTATAGGTATAGTGAACTATTACAAAGTAATTTAATCGGCAATCTATCAGATTAGAGATGGTAATATTTTTATTGAAAATTTTCTTGTCCTTTGCGGGTATTTACCGAACTTTTTAAAAACTTCTTAAAAAGTAAAAGAGGGCAAATTTTAATAAGGTTTTAATATCCTTACAAACTTGGTTCGTAAATTCATTAGGCTCTTGAGGAGTTCAAAAAGTCGTTAAATTTGTCACGTAATTACGGAAGACATTTAAGGCATTACCTACATATTTACATTCCGGTTAATTCGAAATTCCCTAATGGTTTTCGAAAACGACCGAGTGATGTTTAATTATATTTCTAACGTATATACGGTAGACTCGTTACTTATTTTCTTTGCGGCAATTAAACCACTCTAAACCGAAATTACCTAATTAATAGGATGTAAGGTAAAACCGGCAACGTTGCAAGTTTACTACTTTAGTTTGTGGAAGAAGTAAGTTAAATCTAAAACTCATCCTTGATAGATAAGAATAAATTTAGACTAGTTGGTAATATAATATTCGACGTCGAGGCACTTTTCCAATATAGAGCTGGAGATTTTTAGAAAATAAAGTCGATTTGCGTATTTTGTCGCAGGTGAAAAAAAAAGGGGAAAATTGAAGGAACCTCGGCGGTGCACACTTTGCACCGAGCAATCGAAATAAAAGACGTAGTCTCGAGTAAAAAGGAACGTTACAATTTCTCCGACGAGGAAAACCCCGAGGTATTCGCGAACGGGTCGAATAAAGCAGTTTTATAGGTACATAAAAGTGGAATAAGTCGTAACCGCAACAAAAGAACCGGCATGCAAATCCATAGGAAAAACTCACCTTGTAATAGAAAAGCCGGAAAAATCACCAGAGTCGATAAGGACGACCGCATTTTCTTTTCGGTGTTCGTCGTCTGGCACTCTCTCGACGATAAATTTAATGATCACAATGTTTTCCTGGAGAAACGATCAGACACTTTATAGAGTCAAATCGGTGGAGCACATTTACATCGACTGTCTTTATCAGTTTGTAATTTCGCTCGAGAAACTTTGGCACATTTTTGTTAAACCGCTCGAATTTCCGCTGTCTGATTCTAAATTACTTCTTCTTTTACCTGAAAACCGAAGAAAAACTTTTTTTAATACTTCCAGATAACAAAGGATTTCTTTTTCATCGTCGTCACAAAGAATATACGAGTATCATTCGAAAATTATTATGAAATGTTGCAAAAAGTGGCATCGAAATTTCACGCTAATTTACCAAACTAAACAATTCCATATTGAAATTTAATGTAAACAGAAGTGTAGGTATACAAATTAATGTTAATGGCTAATTAATATCGTTCCAATCTAAATATTCGCAATATTGTTTGATTTGCCTTTTTCAAAAATTGTTGTTCTATTAATTACCATAATTAGCTCTATGGTAAAATATTGTGCAAATTTTCAACTACAAAGAACACTCTGCAAATTCTCAATTATTTAGTAAAACTGTTGCTTTCGTAAAACAAGCATCCTGTATGTGTGTAATGTATAAAACATCGGATGAAATACGCGGAAGGCAACGTTTACAACTCAACAAGGCAACAACAAACGATACTTGAAAATTCCGTTTAACGAACATCTGTTATAGGCATCCTAGGCTTTTGGTTTGTGTAATAATTATGCATATTTTGTTGTAATCTCAGTATATATTTAACGCGTCTCGCATAATTGGATTAATAACAAACTGTGGGTCCTCGTTGGTGGGCGTGTAAAATGTGATACACGTAAATTTGGTAGGAAAATTATGTGTATAATTATATTACGCTAAGGTGGATAGATACACCCGTCTAGTTAGAGGTATGTAGGTAGTTGGAACGTGTTTATACGAAACATGTTGTTTTGAAAACCTAGAGGCCTATACGATGAGTTCGGGAAGGCAATTCGGTCCGAAGCACCGCGGGGAATCTTCGAAATTTCAATTAATTAACATCCTAAAATATACGCCCCAGGTGAAATCTTTCGACGGCATATTAATTAATGATGAAACTTGGGGGGTGATTTTTTTGAATTGACTTTTTTTTTGAATGCCTGATGGGAGAAGAAACACGCCGTGCCTAATCAGAGACGTACATTTTTATCGCTCGATCACAAGGAAAAATTAAAATACTAATAAAACACAAAAGAAACGGGAAATTGTCGGGAGTTTCAACCTATATTTTTGATAAACATTAAAGAGTAGAATTTCCGTTTCCCTTGCGATTGAAATGTGTATAAACCGTCTGTTACCGATATAGATTTTTACTACCGCGAAACTTTATTAAAATTTTATTCGATCCATTTGGAAATGCGCCGTCGAAATGAAAATGGAATTTCTAGCGGAAAGCGTGGAAATTCCGCGTTTTGACATACATACAATTTTCCTACGTGGCCCTAGAAATTTTCGCACATGAACAAAGAACGGAAAATTTTTAATAAAATTCACAGCGTTCCAGTTAATTCCGAAATATCAATACAGATTATAGGATTATAAGCGGCACGCAGCCCAAAATAAATAACGATTTTATTATAGGGGTTGTTGTTACCAAACTTTTAGCCGTAATCCCTTCGAACACCCTTCCATGAAATCGAACGAAAAAACGATAAATAATTCCAGCATTATCAGAGAGGCGACTAATTTTTACAACTTACAATTTTATTGTGTTTGAAATATGGATATGAATTAATCATCAATTTCTCTAATGTTAAATTTATAGAAAATGATATCCATGCCTAATGTGCTTTATGAATAATAAATCGAACTTCAAGCATTTACCGGCTTCGGTATGTCATTTTATAATTTAAATTTCATTTCCAATTCAGATCAGGCAAATCAATTTTTTTGTAAATATTTAATAGAATAAATATACCCATTTTGGATTTCTTTATTTATTAAACATTGATATTTTATTTACAATTATCATAAATATAACGCGCAAATATACTTTAAAACGAATTACAGACAAATTTCGAACAGACGGAAAATTATCGTCCCGTTTAAATTGATTTTATTAGCCAAATTGCTTACCGATTTTTATTTGCTTGATGTGAATTAATAATTAATTCGTTGCGACGTTAATTTTAGTAAATTAAAACTAATAAAGTAATTAACTCGCGCATGTGGCGTTTAATTCCAAACGGGCGTTGTGTTAACTCACAACATTTATACTATTTACATATGTATAAAATTAATCCCACAATAATTACATTATACAGAATCTATGAGTTGAATACCCCAACCTCGCGAAATATTCTTATCTTATCTTACAAATATTTTAGTAAAAAAACGATAAAAAACCGGTTTTTTTCGGGATACTTTGTTCAAATTGATATTAGTTTATTTATGTTATATAAATATAATTCAGGGCGCTACTGCTCGAAATTTTATCATTTTTTTCGAGAGCACCGCGACGGGCGGCACCGAAAAATCTAATAAATCTTCCAGTAAAAATTCTCGCCGTCGAAATAGAAAAGTCTTGAATAACAGTGTGTACCGAACGAACAGTCAGGTATAATAGATCGACGAATTTTTATTACTTTTCCGGAACGCTTATAAATCCGTTTGACACCCCCCGACATTCCAGTTTATTCTTCTCTCGCCACCTGTAAGGCTCGTTAATGCGTTCCTTTTGCTATAGAAGATGATGTTTAATTGGTAATAAAAATGACTGGGCAACTAAATTTTAATGAGATCCTATTGATGCGCGAGATATTTAATGATGGAATTCGGGAGGGTTTTTAATTATGTATTAGTTCTGAAAAAATTGGTAGGCGTTGAATATTTTTTTAGACAAAAATTAGGCTTGTTTATGAATATTTCATGTGCTACAGATCTATTCGTATACCGGAATTTTAAATAACTCAACGGTTCATCACGTTATAAATTAATCTTCACTTTAATTGCATCATTAAAACGCCCAAATTATTTCCAGATGCTTTCTTTTACCATCAGTTAGCAGTTCAAAAAAATCGCTTAGAACAAACTAAAAATAACAAAAATACCAAAAATAGTTTAACAACAAATAAATTTGTTCATAATTTTTGAGCAAAAAATAGTTTGAAAAGTACTTAAAAATTTTTTTATAACATTCCATTTATTGTAATAATTTAAAAACCTACTTTCGGAGAGATTTCCCCAATTAAAAATCCTTTTTCGAGTTTACTCTGCTTCGATCACCACTGCGTAACTTACGCGAAACAGAGCGCTCTATTCGATATTCGGGCTCAAATTCAGCAAGTCTCGTGCCTACAACGACCATCGCCGCGAAAGAACTGTCGCTCTTCGGCCGCATTTCGAAGGACCGGATCGGCGGGCGCACGCGCACCGCCCTTTTTATCTAGCCAGGACCTACCGATGAATATTTTAAACTTGTCAAATACTTGGTCCGTATTAGCAGATGAATTGTACAACACCCCCGAGGCGCTCCCCGGACGAGAAAAATGATTTTGTTTGCGAGAGCGAAGAGGAACCGGTGCCGATGTGTCGATTACGATTAGCGCCGAACGGGCGACCGATTGGCCCTTAACGCGGGCGCCGCGACGCTCAAAATGCCTCATTAAATCCAGAATTGAACATTACTCATTATTTCACAACCTACAAACTTTTGTATTCAATGCGTGATTAATTAAATCAAGGTTAAAAGATTTGTCTATATTTTTATAAATATTTTCCATTTTCTCAAAGGTTCAAAATTCGCCTTTAACAAGTATGTAGGCGAACTGGTGGTATTTCGATCGAAAAATATGTATATTAAAACAAAGGGATTAGGAAAACTCGGCGAGTTGTTTTCAAAAATAACCATACGTCCGGATGGGAAAAGGAAAACGCGCCGGAGTTAAGACGTTTGAAAAGCCGCTCAAAGCCCGGTAAAATGTATTTATTAGACGGTTAAGGTGTCGTATATGGAAATGGTGCGGTGCGGAGGGCGCGGCCCGAGATAATGGAGTCCCCGTTAAATCCTTCGCACAGCCGGTCCAGAATAAACACTCCCAGATTTCGGGAATCGTTGTGCCGTGAAATTCGTCATCGTTTTCCAGGCAAATGACTTTAATGAAACAAGTATCCAATATAAGGATTATGCGCGGATTAATATTCATTGCCGTTAAATAGAGAACCGGAGAAATCCGGACGGGACAATACATCGTCCTAAATGTACTTTTAATCGCGTTATTGTCGAATAATACTCGATTAGTATTCGCTAAAAATGCGCATTTATATTTAATTTACGTCTAGAATTTTATTTCACACCTTTTTCGCGACGAAAATTCGCCAAGTTTAACGAAATCTCTCACCTTGTACTAACTGAGATCCAGATACTAATACATCTTCCCCTTTAATACAATGTCGCGCGTTCATAATCCCAATTAAAAGAGCTTTACAGCCATTATATTGGGTTTTATTAATTGATAAACATCTAATTGAATAGGAGGATATAAATTCACATCGTTAGATATTTATGGCCGAATTCAGCTAATAGAATAACAAAACCGGTAATTAATTTACCACAATAATAATTCCGACGTAATGATAATATAGTGGCAATGGAAGAATAATTGGAGGTAATGATGATATAGGAGCAAAGTAAATTATTCGCCGCATAGACTTCATTTTACTAATATACTATAGTTGGTATAGGGCGTTAAGCGTTTTGGGTGTATATGTACCTAGTTAAAACATGAATATTAGGGTGCTTAAATAGCGAAATAATGTTGTTATTAGATAATAACTATATTTGTTTGAATTAATAACATTTCCCCATATTTTTTACCAATGATTTTAATGAAATTTTGTCGGAATTTGCGGTGAAAAGTAAGCAATTGAAATTTCCTATTTTAAATAAAATTAGATATGAAGAATGCATCAGATGAAATGAGCGAATTTCCCGGAATTTTTCCTTTATTCAAATATGTATTATAAACGTTGCAGACTCGTCTTCGCTAGCGCGTCTTATTAAAAAATCTGTTTGCTCGTTAGCAATGTAAAAAATATCTCTTTTTTAAAGCCCGGAGCCGGCGCGGCGTTAATGAAATGCAAAGATCGTGCCTTAATGTTTTCATTGCCTTCATAAAGCAGTTAGAGAACCCTCCAGAATTGCAGCCACTTTTAATCCAACAAATATTATAATTTGTCGTTTTCAACGCATTTTTAACGTGATTTATTAATACAATTTCGCCTTAATTGCTATTTAGAAAAGGCAAAAAATTGTACGGGTATAATGATGGATTCTTCTTATATATTACCCTTCGCAGGAGATTAAATTGTATCATTTTGTAGGAGAAAAGTTTGTTAAAAATCATTTATTCGATATAGCATCAGGTTTTTAAATAATTATAAATTAAAGTTGGCGATTGTTTAAACTCGTCTAAAGTATTTTCCAAAGAGTGTACATTTCCGTAATTCAAAACTTTAGAAATCGAATTACGGTAGAAAAACATTACCTTTGTGACGAACGGCATAACTTTCTTTTGTGTCTTTCTTATTGAATTTTCTAAAAAGTTCGAAATTTTGCCAACGAGACGTACTCGCAGGTATATACTTACCCTTCGACGATTTCGTTAGAAACTTATCGAACTGTCTTTTTTCCTGCAGGAGAATTTTCCCACTCGAAAACAAAACGTACAATAAAAAATCAAATTAAATTCATCTAGCGGAATACAACACGTTTCGATAGTTTTCTAAATTACAAGACGAAAATCGAAACACCATTTAATTTTAAAACTTTCCTCGATGATTCTCCGGTTCATAATAAATTGATTAATCGAAGTGTTAGAAGATCCTGAAAACAAGTTATCGAAAAAGTTTCGTTCATCCCGTTACTTGCCTTCAATGTAATGAGCCTGATATTGATAGTGACACTTAAGAAAAACTGGAAATAAAGTAAAAATTATCTAATTTTAGTGCTGAACAAAAAACCAAGTGGATTTATTACTCTCTAAAATTAATTAGAGGATACTGAAAAAAATATAATTATAAAGTAGACTATGTATGTATGAAATAGAGTCAATTTTCTTAGTAGATACCATAAATACAAGTTAGAGTCATAAATGGAACATGGAACTAACAGTTAAATATCTGGTTAACAGAACATTTACATCTTATTTATACATCCTTAGGAGCCAATCATCAACAATACTATTGGCATGTTTATTCTTATCAAATAATTAAATTTAACATCAATGAATTGAATAGATTTCAGTTCTATTAGACATCTTCATACATATTATAAGGAATGAATTGAAACACAAACTAAAATGTATACGAGATCTGTTATTCAATTGACCGAAATGCTTATGATTAATGGCACAGAAAACAATTTCCATTGAAAAATTGACGTGAGCGCAGGAAAATTTCCCGTTTTCGGAGAACGTTCGACGCAAATATTATGTGCATACGAAATAACTATCTGATGAAAGGCTGGAATTTTCAATTTTTGTGGGAACGCCGGCGCTGTTTTTGATATCCTTGCGTACTTGTACCAATCTAATCATCGAGGCAATGGATTCGAGACTTTCTCATGACGGTTTTTTCCTTATCTCTAAGCGCGCGAAAATCATTTCGATGCCGCAATTTCATTTCCTTTCGGATCCTCTTTACACTCAGAAAAATAACCGCTACTTTTCGAGCACCAACAAAAATGCTTTTGCTAATATTGTGCTCTATAATATGTTGGTTTTTCGTGTAGACATAATAAAGTTCATTTCTATTGATCGTTAAGAGAAATTTGCAACAAAAAATTGCACTATTTGAAGTGCTAATGATGTAGATTGGTATTAGAGGGTGTTGCAAGGAAATGGAAAAAATGATTAGGTGCAAAATGCATTATACATTTGTAATTCCAGTAATGCAAACTCGTAAAGACTCCAAACCTCCTTTAAATACAGTATCGTAAACCGAATAACTCAGTTAGCCGAGGCCATAAATTTATAGACCAACAAGACGAGAACTTATACCATAGACTAAATAACCTCGTTAGTAAAGACCCGAACTTATTATACAATAAAAAGAACGATAGTAGAGGCTTTACAATAAACTACTTTGATAATAAATGGAACAAATTCTCCTGCACTTTTCATACATTTTATCTAAATCTACCTATCTAGTAAGAAAACAGTTTTGGACCAAACCCTATCGAAGCGCACAATTTCCAATAATTGAAGGAGAAACATAAGGATCAACCGAAACCCCACAATATCCATTCTATGCAGACATCAATTTCAATAAAAATACCGATGGATAAGCCGCATACGGGGGGCCGAAGAGGACCTCTCCGACGGTATAAAACCGGAGTGTTCCCTCTTTTTACATCGACACATTCAAGTGTCGATATCAATAACTGGTTCAATACACTCGCGTTGCTCATTCGCCTCCTTTCTGCCAAATGGATGAACTGGTTTTTCTATGGAAATGTTGATACTTTTCCCATCTTGCTGTTGGTTCTAATAAAATTATTAATACAAGGCGAGCAGAGGCTGGTACAATAAAATTTGAACCAAAAAAGTTGAAGGTGTAATTAATTTTAAAGAAAGCATAAAAGTACAAAAATTTATTAGGATTGTGGAAAATGAGGTCATAAGAAAAACCAGGAGAATAAGAAAACAACAAAGCAAGTAAATGAGGTCAGCAATTTAACCCAAGGGTGATCGTTTTTATTTCATAGTGCATTTTATATTCTTTTTTTAGTTACAAATACGAAAATTCCTATCTCGGATGTGTCGTCGGGGCTATTTACACGAGTCGCGCGAACGTCGAAGACGTCTTCCGATTTTTTCCTTATCAAAAGGAAAATAATAAAAAGAATTATTTGTTAGCGCGTATGGCTTAAGGACAGAAATCGGCGGGAATTAGATATAGGTGGAGGTACAAAAAAACGGAACGGGGAAGAATGGTAGTCGGTACATATCGCGAATTCAATTTCGATCGCCGCCTCCGGCTAGTAGTTAGCTGGAACGTCTGTTCCACGCTTTTCCAGAAGACGATATCGGTATTAGATTTTGTTTTATTTCGTCGGATCGCAGCCGAAGCGACGCCGACGGCCGTAATTCAAAAATCCGCAGAGCAAACCCTGAGAAAGAAATTCACGTGGATAACTCATACATTATACCTACCTCTATTTATAAAAAGAAAATCTGCATTAATGCACTTTGAAATAAATTGATCATTGTTTATGAATAAGTTGTTCAGTGTACTTTTTTCTACGAATAGAATTGCACTATAGTGGAAAAGAAATTAGTATAGCAAGTATAAATAAAAATATGAATGCATCGAATAAAAATTTGAGCGATTTTCCGCATTCGTAATGTTTACATACGGAAGCCCGGAGGAGGCAAAACTATAAGACGTCGAGCGTCATTTCGCTGTTCGACTAGACTCTTCCGCCCCGGCCTGACAAGTGCGCATATGGCAAGTTATTAAAAAATCTCATATTCAACTTTCGATGTGACGTCGCGCTACCCTCCGGGCCGTCCGGGGGCGGCGTTCGCGCGCCCTTATTCAAACGTACCCGCGCGAGGAGACGTGCACGAGGAACCCGAAGAGCCCTTATCTTTTATTTGGAAACTTGGTCCGTATCTGCCGCCTGTTTATGTCCGATAGAACGCAGTCTGTGTTTTATATGCTCGAAAATTGCTTCGGCTCGTCTATCGGGGGTGGGTTTTATCGCGCTGTTTTTTTCCCTATCGAATCATCATCGATTATAAAGAATAACGCTACAGTTTTTGTTTGCTTCGCGAGTTATTTATTTACTCAACTATTTATCACCATTTATAAAACAGAATGAAATTTAACACACATATATTACTACATCATTACTACTACTACTACTCAACTAGTATTCATACAACTACTATTTCCTTAAAGCTACTTGTATTTCTTCTAAACTCTTCTGCTTGGTTTCAATCAAAACAAAATACACGGCTACAGACCCGACGATCATGGACCCCATGAACAGGAACAAGCTGACCGTTGATGATCCCAGCGCTTGTACAAATTCAGGGTACAGATAAAACTGCATGAAGAAACCGCTGACGCGCTGCATGCTGACGAACACGGCTACAGCGGCGGTTTTAACCTTCAACGAGAACAATTCGCCGAGGAAAATATGCTGCACGGGCGCCAAGCCGACGTTGAGCAGTACCAGATGAGCGATCACGAAGGTGATGTTGAGAGCCGGTATCGGCACCACGTAGTTGTAATGCTCGGTAACTGCCGAAAATATCGCGACTGGTGCTAAAAATAAAGCTAGACCTATCATGGATGCCATCAGACAGAATTTCCTTCCGAGTCTATCGATGAGGAGGGCGCAGATAATACATCCCAATAGTTGAAGTAAAACTGAAACATATTTTAATTATTATACAGCAAATTTGGTTTAGAACTTTTAATGCTTACATGATATAATTAGGATGGTGTCGATTTGCAGATCCACATCCTCGTTTTTAAAATACTCGTAGATATAAAACACGAGGTAATGCACCAAATAAACTCCAGATAGATTATAGAGGACCGTCAGGAGAAGCATAATCAATATGGATTTTATCCAGCCGGTTGGTAGGTAATTCGGTGTTTTAGATTCTTGTACATATTTCAGCTCAATTTGTGTCAATTTGTCGACTTCCTCCGATTCGTCCAAATGAGTTTTGTGCCGTTTCGTGTAATAAAACGGAGATTCTCGAGCGACGAAGAGGAACAGAACGGCGAAACATACGGCGAACGTTATCGAAGCGGCTGTATATGCTGTGTACGCAGCGTAAGCCCCAATCATGCGAAAAACTATCGATCCGATGTAATAAAAAATGCCCATCAACGTGATGAGCAATCCTCTGCACGATTCCTCCGACGTTTCCCCGATGTAAATGGGCAAAGCCACTAAAACTCCTCCTACGGACAAACCGGCAATGACTTGTCCAATAGACACTACTGCAACAGACTTAGCCAAGTGGAAAATTACGATACTTGTAACGTACGTTACAGTTGTAGCCAATAGTGTTATTTTCCTTCCTGTTAGTTCACAAGACAGGCCGAATATGACAGTACCAACTAAAGTACCGATTGGCATGCACGTGGCTATTATACGCATATTATACTCTTCCACAAAGGTCACTTTCATCAATCTTTTTACACCGAATGTAAACCAATTGTCAATCGATGCTACTAGAATCATTAAAGAGCACCCTGAAACAAAAAGTTTATATAGTTTTTAACTCTTTCATTGCCTTACTACAATAACAATTTATTTATCTATAATTTATGTTATTGTATTTATAAAGCTTAATTGAACACACTCCACAATATTTATAGAAGGGCTAATAAACTTACCTGCAAGGATTGCTCCTATTTCTCTAGCCGTCATACCCATTTCAACGTCGTTCTTTTAATCACTTTAAACTCAAAATGGAGCACGTCTCTCATGTTACTCAACTCATATTGTGACCAGTTAATAATAATTAAAATACCTACGGTTACTGCTGTGGCCGATTCATTATCGCATTATCTTGACCTTGCCTGTACCGTAAATCGGTAACGCTGCGGTCGTTATATCAATCAAACAATTAAAAGGAAACGGTGTTTTATTAGAAATACAAACGGTTAAATATTTTTTATCATCTTCCAATTCACTGTTACATTTTTCCTAGGTGGAACTCGCAAAAATGATTAGATAGTGCACGCGGTTACTCATTAATATCATATCAAATTGCAGCGAACTTGGAACTTAGCACGCGAGCCGCTAATGTGCAGATCCGTATGCAAATCGCAGAAAGAATCGAACTTGATTTACAATATTAGAACTCCAATTTCCAATTGTGTATCATAAAATTACCGGCACGTTCGAATGCGACAGCCGACCAGCGCCGCCTTCCCGTCGATTCGCCGGCGCCGCCTTTGAAGCGCCATCCAATATTTATCCGGCCGTTCGGACACCTGGTAAAAGCTTTGTGATTTAGCAATTTGTGCGGCGGCAGATTGGGCTGTTACACACACAACATACGTGCCCATACACACACATACACACACACAAAAAGATACCACTAGCATGTTTCTATTAAAACTCCGTTTGGTTTGTAGAAATAGCGCATTAAAACTCCAAATAGTTACGCTCTGAACTTTCAGTATAAACATTATTAAAGTTCTCATCTTTTAAGTTTTTCTAATTTATCGGGGACGTTGCTGAGGAGGGTACGCAATGTACTAGCTAATTGAAGAGGATTGAAGTCGAATTGATTTATCGTAAGGCTTTTCGGATCGAAGTGTTTGGTAAATTCGATTCGAAACAATGCGGAAAAGTGGTTTCTTGTTTCATAAAGAGTGATCACGCAGACCACTCGATCAGTTTGCGAGGTGAATTGCTTTAATTAGGGGTCACGGAGTGTCCTTGTGTACAGTGCGTTTAAAAACCGAATTTTTATTTCTAAATGTAGTGGAACTTCGATATAATTCGAATTTCAGTCGGTGCGCTGTGTAGAAAATGATTCAATTAGACTCTAAACCGAATGACAGATGATCCTCAAGTTTCTGGATAGTGCAGCGCGTAGGAAAGCGGCGATCACTTCGGCAAACTAGTTTTCTCTCATAATTTCTAGGCAATTAAAATTTAGCAAGTATATTTAGTGTGTAATTGATATTCGGCTGGCAGTGCGCGCTTCGAGCTAACTAACTTTGTTAGCACCCCTTGCCTTGGCGCGCCCTTAGGATTTCGAAATGACGTTTTCAACGTGAACCTTATGTAATATTGTATATTAATTACTAATGTATCTGCTATTACAATAACGAAATTATGCATGTTTATTACTAGTTAGTAGAGCAATATAGATACTCACTACATTTGTTACTGTTAATTACCATATTAATACAGGCGAGAATAGTTTGGTTTACTTTTTTCTTGTACTCCAACAACCATTAACAGCAATTTCGTCATTTAAGTGGCTTAATTGGCGTAATCGGCAGTTTTAAATCGATCGAAAAATCGCATTGTACAATGCAAATTTCGAAAAAATGTTGGCAAACGCGCAACGTTATCCGGTTTGAATTAGAGCTATCGACTAAAAAAAAGTAACGACTGAATATTTTCCATGCAAAGTGCACGGCAATGGAGCCGTGAAGTGACTCAGAACATTTAAATACATAATGCAAGACCAGGTATTCTCAGAATTCATGAATAAAACTCATATCCAGCAATCCGACCGTTCGAGGACTAAGACGCCCGCTGAAAAAGGCGCGTCTTTATCTTCGAAGCGTCGCTGGAAGGAATTATTCTATGACGTATTTTCGCCGGCCCTATTGTCATCCTGCATTATGAAAAGTCTCTATTACTTCGTACTTTAGTCGTCCCTTTGTGTGTTTTTGCTCGGGGAGCGATTTTTTTTTGTTTACCCTCATAAATTCCCCTTTAAGTCGGCGGTTAGTTTGCACACTTTGGTATGTAAAAGAATACTAGTTTCACATAACTTTCATACTAAACCAATTTGATGTCCTATACCCCAATGGTGTACAATCAGAAACTAATTAGAAAAACTTTAATTTGATTCTCTATCAAAAATATTTTCAATTACATTCATCAGTTTATGCTTTAAGTATTTTATTTGCGCTAAAAAGGCGCGAGATAAGTTCAAAGTTGAAATATCCGAGGCGTTTCATAAAGATTTATTTAGGTATTTGCAGAAATTCCCTATTACATTGATTTCCATAAATAAATCACGTAATATTGAGTTGCTCTCGTAAAATTGAAACTTACTGGGAAATAGGTTGAATAAAAATTTCCCAAGCGTAGCGATATTGAAATATTTACGATAGAAAATAAATAATTTAATAGACACTTTAAGTATAACACCAAAGTCGCGTATAATAATTTAGAAAATTAGTTTCTTTGAGCAAACATAGTTTCAATTTAAACTCTTTTCTATAATTAAGCGAGTAGTAAAAGCTTCAGTGTGTCTCTTTCGGGTAAGTTAGAAGATTTGACATATTGTAGGTATACACTTTAATAAAGTTGAGTAAACAAATTCCTGTAGCACTCCAAGTTGAAATTATTTCATTAAAGACGTTATACACCGGCGGACATATCCTACTTGCGTATTCAGCCACAACTTCAGACGAGCTTCATTCTACTCACCAGGTTTCCTTAACTTCACTTTACCAAACTAATTTCCTGCGGTGATTTATACCGCCAACCATCCTCAGGATTAGTATGATAAATTAGTAATCAACATAATTAGGTATTTATTTATATTACAATCGAACGCTTCCTCATAAACGTAACTGGTTGACAATATATGTCCATCCATTTTTTTGTTCTAAAAAAAATCCCATCAATTATTGGAGAAATCCGCTCGTTCTCAACTTTCGGTCCGCAATATCAATTCCCTTACTCGACAATATCTCGGAATTGGTTAAATTAAGGGGCCGCTGAGAGTCGAGTTCGGTCCGTCAGAAAGCCCAATGATATATGATTCGGACGGCACATGTGTTTACATGTGCGTCTGTCTCTCCTGCGATCAGCATACGCCCCGGACATCTTACTTTGTTCCTGCTAAACTAACGATATTCAAGTGCAATAAGCTCTATTCATGATAGAAACGACCAAAATTTTTTTGTTATTTCAGTGTGTTATGAAAACATAATTTAGGTGTACGAAATTAAGAAATTAACGTATCCTTTTGAGGATTGTTACGCTCGATGGTTGCGTATTTACGTCGTCGAACATCGATCACTTTATAGATTCGTCGATTTCACTCCGGTTATTAATAGTTAATCCGTTATTTGACGCAAATGCTTTAGTTTGTAATCGTCGTTGAAACGGTCCGATTACGTCCGCGGTCTGTTAAAACTTGTCGAGGGCGCTCCGGGCGCCTTTGTACCGCGATAATTCGCTTTGAACTTTATCGAAATTAAATATCGCTCTAATAACATTCTATCCAGGAAATACGGATTCGCAGTTTTTATTTCCGATATTCTTTCAACCGGAACAACGACGAGTAATGAGTAATTTCGGACGGAATATTTTTAAATTAATCACCTGTTAATTAGGATCGTTTTAATGCCTTTGAACTATTGTACTTACGAGCCGGATTTCTGGAATCGAACGAGTCAGGATCGTCCGGCCGAATTAATTACAGGATTTAGAATGTCCTGGGGTTCAGAGCGGGGTAGGTGGATATCTGCGATACGCGGTGTCGAATACAATCCAGAAGCCGAAATATATTTTCGACGTAACGATAACAGTCGTGGGGAACTTAAGCCGATTATACAAAATATTAGATACAATTTGTTAGAGATTAAGAAGGGATGTATTGTATACCTCTATACCTACAAAGGCATCGATTTTTCGCTGGACTTATTCCCTATTAAAACCAGACTTTTGTTTGTAATACAAACTGTTATGTTTGTCAAAACACTTACCTACCTATTGAGTAAATAATACCAAATAGGAAATCGAAATATAACCGATAAATCAAAATCTATCCGATAACTAATCAGCGTTGATAATAATAATAAATGGAGTTTTCGGTTAGAAGAAATTTAATCAATCAAATTTAGGTTGTACCGAAAAAGGAAACGAAAGATTTTAAAAGGCGACGAATCGACTTCGAATCTCGATTTCCCAACGGAAAGCGACCGAGAGCAGTTTCCTGCACACCTGGATCGGAAATCGACGACCCGAATGAAAAATAGAAGCCGGGAAAATGTATTATTTGTCACTGCGTTTCTGTATATGTATGCACATCTGAAGCACTGTGTAAGCAGAAAAACTGTAATGGCCTGAAATGTACTTGTTTTTCTTCAAGGGGCTATCAATTTTAGTCACCGCCGGTATAATTCATTGTCCGCACCGGCGGGAAAATACGCGCCAGGAAATTATTTATTGATTTAACTTCGAAAATATCGTTAAGAACACATGGCGAAACGTATTTTGCTAACATCAAAAAGACAAATAATACCAAATTTATTACGCCAGTACTTCTTGGTCTCATTTCTTAACACAGGGCGTCCCAGAATTATAGATACTAAAGCAATCTTTTTAATTTTCATAAACATTCCCTCAAATATTCGAAATTTACTCTCTATAAACAAATTTGATTTTTATTGGCAGTTATTTTTATAATTTAAGGAAATAGGAAGATTTTTTATAGACAATCTCTCTGTATAATTCAATATCTCCTTGTCAATTGAGCTGCATTTAGACCGAGGCGTATTAGGTATTTAATTTCAGGAATTCTCCTCGAATATATAGGTCAGTTAAGCGGGAGTCGATAAATAAGGTGTCAATAGGTCAAACGTGACTTAAACCCGAAAGCCTTGTTCATAATCGAAGTGGAAATAATTTAATTCGGCATGAACGCATAGTCACCATATTGGAATCGTGATTCGATTCGATTAATCCGGCATAATTTGTTGCAAAAGCGAAGTGCGATTATGCAGCAAGTGGATTTATCCG